CCGTTTGCTCCTATTTTATTGATCAAGCTTTCTTTGTATCTGCAAATCGAAAAAATGTTTTGATCATTCTCAGAAAATTTACAGTCAAATTAGTATATACTTCAAAGTTAATAGCTTTAGATTATTATTAAGCTGAGGACATGAATATAATGCCAAAAAGAGAATTCCTATTGGTTGTTGTTGGATGTAACAAAACAGAGCAGGTAAACAGAGGAGGATAATTAAACACAAGATAACAAAATAATCTTTGCTCATTATATGTCCTCAGCAAAAACCTAAATTCTCTGTCTTTATATGAATACTACACTTATGCTTTATACAATTTTTTCTTATAAAATCAGCTTTTCAAAGTCTTAACTACTTCTTGAATTGGATCTTCACTGTTGATATTAATATAAATCACGCTCACATTCCATTTTGCCTAACACAGTCACAGAGACAAAAATGGAGGAAGCAAAGCATATTGAAGCTGGAGAAACTTCAACACCATCCACAAAAGTTATAACTATAGAGCCAAAGTTGGTTATAAGCAAAGGAATATTGAGTCTTGGATTCGTTCTGCGGTTATTCGCTGTTTTCGGAACTATAGGAAGCGCGCTAGCCATGGGAACAACACATGAATCTGTTGTCTCTTTGACTCAGCTTGTACTCCTTAAAGTTAAATACAGTGACTTACCAACGCTCATGTAAAAAGATTCAATGATCAATATGTGTTAATTAGGTATATGTTTCCATGAATTAGTTGTGTTATATATAACTACAAATATTTCTCTGTTTTATAGGTTTTTCGTGGTTGCAAACGCGGTTGCTGGTGGATATTTGGTTCTTTCTCTACCTTTGAGTATCTATCATATCTTCAGTAGTAAAGTGCAAACCTCGAAAATCATCTTGCTCGTCATCGATACGGTAAAGCTCTTCCTCTCTTTTTTGTTTATCTTCTCTAAAACTGCACCTACTCTTCCATGATCTTAACGTGGTTAATCGGACGTCTATAAGCAGTTATATTAGGCCGCTTAAAAACGGCTAATTAGCCACAAAAGTGGTTTTACTGTCTACAAATAAGTGTGGCCGAAGAAGAACATTTACCGCTTTTTAGAACACTAGCTAAAACATCTAATTAATCAGTCGCGGTCTTAACTAACTGTCTAAAGATAATATTTTTCTGAAAAGAACGCTTCATAGTGCTATTTAACTGATATTAAGACCACCGGGTTAAATCTAAGATCATAGGATAACAGAACGTAAGCATAAACATAGGACTAACTTGTGACCCGAGCCAATTATCTAGTGACCAGGCCAAAAATTTCATGTCTAACGAGCTCATGATGATTCAAATGTTGACATCTTTTTTGTTTCTATGTATATGTATATAAGGTGATGGTGGCTCTGGTGAGCGCTGGTGCATCCGCAGCAACATCCACCGTGTATTTAGCTCACGAGGGCAACGCAACCGCTAATTGGCCCCCGATTTGCCAGCAATTTGATGGATTCTGCGAACGCATCTCCGGATCTCTCATTGGTTCTTTCGGCGCATTGATCTTGCTCATGCTTATAGTTGTTAATTCCGCTATTTCCCTCTCGCGCCACTAAGATAATCTCTATAAGAAAATCGCGGCGAAATGTGTCTCGAACCTACACTAATTATAAAACTCTTTATATTCATGTCTAATGTAATGTAATATATTGTAACGAGTTGAAAGATTTCATGTGAATAGAGAGTCGTTATATATACAATTAAGCAAGAAGCTCCACAACGTTGTCTATCGATTTCAATGTCTTCTCGTAGTACAGATACGACTCGTACACCTTTGGTGTCCGTACGTAGAAATCCAGCTGTTGCATCAAAAACATTTGTGTATAATAACAAAATTACGATATTAAACATATGTAAAAAATTATGAAATATTATGTAATTTGAAGTTTCACTTCCATTTGCTTCCTACGTATTTTATTCAAACAAAACGCCACATATTAGTTTGATTATCCAATGAAATTTGTAAATCAACGTTTTAAATGTGGAAACTACTCCTTTAATTTACATTTTGCAAATTAAGAATACTAAAAACTTTAAAATGAAATATAGGTTAACATGTGAATTCCAAGTAATGTAAATGTGTTATTAACTTTGTAATATATTAGTAACACATTGCCTAAGCTATTTGATAAATCTAACATAGTTTACCTCAATGATATTTACAAGAAATTAAAACACCAATAT